GTACGGACCTGCCTTCGCGGTTAGCTGGAAGAGGGGGGGCTCCCTCCCTTGCCAGCCGGACAGACACGGGGTGAGGGGTACGGAGGTTTGGGAGAAGGGAGAGAACTTGACATCTAAGGTAACCAGCGCTAGTTGCACTACTCCACTACTGCTCCCCAGCTGCTAACTTACACGGTGCGCGGTTAAGTACAAAGGGAACTACTGGAGTTAGCAAAGGCTCCGACCGAGCACGCTCTAACTCCAATGTCTGCCCTGGGCTGTCCCAGGCAAGAAGCTTCTCTTCACAAGACTGTGTAGCTGCAAAACAAATGTAAGCATTAAAATAAGAAACAAACAAAAAAAAAAACAAAACAGAAAACAAAATAAAAACCAACAAAGAAGTACAAAGACACACAAGCCCCAACCCTGGTCCGCACACAGAGACATCCACATCATCCCAGCAACCTCCACCTGCTCTCCTGGCTCTGTCACACACCAGCTGACACCCAGGGACCACCCTGGGGCCGGTGCAGCAGAAGACCCCTCAGAGCACAGCGGGAATTGCACTAATGCTCCCGGAGGTAGTTTGAGGGTGACCTAAAACACTGGTCAGAGTAGTGACAGAGCAGCATGAGGGCAAGTATGAGGCGTGAGAGAAAGGGAAAGAAAGTAGGGCACCCAAATCACTGCAAATCTCAACTCGGGAGGGGAACGAGTGGAGTGGGAGAATGCTGCCCCACTTCTCTACATGATGTGGCATCCCTTAAGAATACCACACAGGGCCTTGCTATGAGCAAGAGGAAGGAATTAAGAAAGCAGTGATGAGCAATTCACAGCAAAAGGGACTTCAGAATAGATCATTTCCCTTCCATTCTGGCTGGGCAAAACACCTTTCCCATTGCACCTTGTGAACCAGCAGTTTGGCATCCTTAGAGCTACTTCAAAAAATAAGTAACAGAGAGGCTCCGACTGCTGCATCGCGTGAGATACAGATGCTGTGTGCAGGAAACCAAGGAAAGGAGACAGGAAGAGTCAGAAGAGGACATGCCTGTTACCTCCTTCCCAGACTGACCTGAATAGAATCAAATTCTCCAGATGTTCCCAACTCATATGGAGGATCCTTCCATTATAGCTTTAAATAGCAGCAGCTAGTATTATTTGCCTGTGTAGGGGTAAAGTCTGGGAATCCCACCTAGATTTTCTCCAACCTATCAGCTTTTTTCATATTCAGAGTTTTTCAGCCACAGGCTCCTCTACGAAGGCAGCCCATCCAGGAGAGATCAGGCAGACAGTACCAGAACTGTCAGACTAACCACAGTACCAGCTAACTGAGCTAGCGAGACAGACATGCAAGGTAAAGGTCACAACAGAGAAATGTCCCTCAGAGCCAACATGATCTGAGGACTTTTCACTCTGAGCACCTGACAGTGGTTTTGGAAATGCCATGGAACCTTCCAGCAGCCACAGCCTCCCTTCCACTGAAGCAAGCAGCCTGTAAAAACTGAGTTGTGTTTCTTTTTGTACTTCTTGAGCACCATCCAGGTCTGGAGTACTCAGAAGTTCTCGACAAGCGAGACTGAATTCGGCCTCGCACATCCCCACTGTAAGCAGACCGGCAGCACCGACCCCATTTGCCAAAAGGACAGCTGACTTGCGTGAGGAAACTCCGAAAGGCGGCATCTCTGCAGAGAACTCCATGTCTCACTCAGATGAAAGCCCGGGAATGAAATTAGCTACGATGAGGTTCTGTTTGTTTTTTTGGTTTTGTTTGTTTGTTTGTTTGTCTCAAAAAGGGACGGGAAAGTTTGGAAATTTTCAGTGTGCAAAGGAGGGTATTTTGCAGGAAGGGAGATGATTTCTTTTTATTCTGGAGTACTGGAAATGAAAAATCAACGTTCTGGACAGAAGTTGAGGAAAGGAAAAATCTTGGGGAGGGAGAAATGGGAAAGGTGGAGGGAAGGGTGGGGAAAAGATGCCGTGAAGCACTGCACCCCTGGACTTACTGGCTGAGAAACAGAGAGAAAGCTGGGACTGCATGGACTCAGTCTGTGTTTTGCTCTCACTGTGCCTCCGTCCTTCAAGCACTGAGCTGGCGTCCCCGGTGGAGAGAGGGGGAGCTAGCATGGCAGGGAATTAAAACACAAACACAAACAAAACACGCAAGTTCAGTAAATAAAAAAGGAGAAAGGAAATAGGAGAACATTAAAGAAACGACAATGCTGGGCACAAAACATGCAGCAGTATGCTCCAGGGCAAAGCCAAGTAGACAGCTCTACAACATGGACCTGCTGTGCAATTCATAACGACAGAGGTGGGGAGGGGCTGCCTTTAGCCCCACCACAGTAGAAACAACATATCCCTGAGGCAACTGTCACTGATGGATCAAGATGATGTTTTCTACACCACACCAGAACTGATCTGCGTAAGCTGTTCACTGAAAATAAGAAGCTGTCAGAGGAATTGCACAAGCACTTCCCTTTTCCCAGAGTCATAGCTATGCAGAACGTTGAGAACTCCAATACCCCTAAACCTTTTGGTCTATTTAGTTTTGCTTGAGTGCTTGCTTAGCTTAAAACAAAGAGGGGCAGGAATCGATAAGGAACACTGGTGAACACTGCTACACTTGAAACTGAAGCACTAAAACTACCAGAGCTGGCTGTAGCACAAACCATTACTGTGCAAGCTCCTTCCCTCCCAACCACCATTCAAATACTCCCTTCTATTAAAGTCATAACAAAATTGTATAACCCTTGCCAGAAAAACCCCCACCCACCTCAGTTTTGATTTGCAGCAACATAACCCTGTACAATTTGTCAGAGATTTAGCCCTGACCAGCTGCCCTCCTTCCACCCCACCTTCTGTTCCAGTCCTAGCCTTCCTCTCCTCACAGCATTCGTATTCCTGACTTACAGAACCTGTTGCCTCAACTGTCTCAAGTCTGGGACCTCTCCTGAACAAAACCTGCTAAAGGAGACAAGGTTCTGGACAAATATCTGTTCTGGACAGATACTCAGCAGAGATTAGACAAATCAATTTCATTACCACACTACCAAAACCATCCAGTTCCCTTCCCTCAAAGCTACATTCTTAAAAGATGGATTACTCTTTGGCAAACAGGTGGGAGCTAGAATACTGTCCTGTAATGAGGTCAGGTCTTATCTGAAACAATCTGTATTGCAGAGCTCGTTCACTCACTGCCAGGCATTTCTGCTCCCCGTGACTTCTCAGAAGAGGAGCCAGCAGCTTGTGACAAGCCACAGGAAAAGCATTAGGAACCAGCCCAGCTGACAGGGGTGACATTGCTTCTACACCACAGGGTCAGCATTGATTTTTCCCCAGATATGTAACTCAGATTGACTACAGAGAGGATGAGAATGAGAATACCTCTGCCACAAAATGCAAACTATTAACACATTTGCCTCAGAATGCAAACTGCATTCACCCATCCCAAACCTGCTCATTCAGGAAAATGTCTGCTTGACCTTTTTTAGGGAGGTCAGGAAAAGGACAGCTGCTCAAACAACAGGAGCAGATAGGGGACTTGGAGCCCCTTCATCTAAAGAGTTTTACAACCACAGAATAGATGATATGGTCACTGAAAGGTAGGAAATCTCTTCTCAGCCTCTCCCTCTACTGATATCTCAGTAAAGGACATGAAAAATAATTTCCATTGAGAGACGACAGGCTGAGAATGATCCTCATCTTAGAAACAAAAATAGACACAAAGAGAAAAAAATAGAGAGGGACGTGTGTGCCTGTCACTAGAGTCTCACAGAAAGGGGTGAGAAGGGAGACTAAGCAGTAACAGAGAAGTTTCAACTCCCTGTAACCTACAGGGAAGCACAAAAACACAACCAGACTCCAAACCTCAGGGGACTGGTAAGGATTTTCCAGGCCTAGAAATGGACTGGAGATGAACAGATTATGATATTTGCAAGAAAAGAATTCCAACTCAGACAAAACCAAATTAGCTCAAAGGAAACAGTGTTTATATACCACAGAGGCCAAGTCAGCTGGTTCCCCAACGCATGGTCCCACTGTGACAGGAATGACAGCGTCATGGCGAGTTTATGAACTGAGTCAGACACAGAAATCTGGGAAGCTAGTTCAAGGCAATGATCAAATCTCCAGGATCCCCTGCCTGCAGTTCACTGTGTTAGAAATAACAGGCAAAACACCTACCTTTCAGATCCTCATCTTCAGTGGTGGTGTTACAGCTCTCTGTGGAACCCTGCATGGCAGAACACAGCATTACCAGGCATCAGCAGTCAAGTACATGAGTAAATAGTTTGATTTGTTTGTGAAGAACGATGTGGAAAACTGCAAAAATATTGGCAGGGATGGCAGGGAGAGGATGACACATGAAGATCTGGATGGAAGCAGGCCAAATATTAAGCAAAACTTAACAGCATCTCTGCTTAGCTTTTGCATGTTCAAGCCGTTCAAGCCATCCACCGAGAACTTTTACAAAGACAGAAGTTACCAAATTCTGTCAAATGAGATCAAACAGGAGTTACTTCTGTTTGGAAGAAGAATAGCCACAAGAAGCTAAAGAAGGATTCCTATGCTTTCTCAGAGGAACAGGTCTCCATTTCCAGACAGGGAAAATAAAAAAAAAAGGTACATAAGTTCCTGCATTTTCTCTTCCAACCCACAAACAAAAGGGAATAGGAAAGATATGACAATATTTAAACAGTTGCCCCTACTCAGCCTCTTCCAGAGATCCACAGCTACACAACACAACCCTCCTAGTCTATTGCCAGCAGTATTCAGGAACATGCTACAAAACAGACATTGGAAAGGTAGAAACCGAAGTAAGACACAGGAAGAGAAGAGTGACAAGAGAGAAGCAGAGGTTTCTCTGGCAACACTCCCATCCCTTACCTTTATGCCATCTGTAGCATTATGGACAACAGTTGTTTGAGGCTCCTAGGAAAGGATGGAAGAATCATTAAACTCTAGTTCCAAGGTATACACTCATTTCTTTTCACTCCCCAGCAAGTAGAGAAAAGGTGAGTGACATAAAAAAAAAAATAAATAAACCACAAACTCCAAACAGCACATGTGTGTTTGCGTGCAGGCGCACACACTTCCTGCACAGAAGGTTTCCTGAAGAGAGGCTGCACTAAAAGCTAGAGTCTCAAGGAGACAAAGCCCCCAGCTTCTTCCCTGCAATTGCCCCCAGCTTCCCCATTTGCCTCCAATGAACCAGGCTGGCACAAACACCAGATGGCAACCGAGCAGCCAGTCTGCACCCTCTGCAGCTGTTCATGAAGTAATTACCCTCAGCAGCACCTTCCCTGGAAAATGCTTTAGAAGAGTGAGAGAGGGAGGAAAGGATAATGCTGGGCTGGGGCCTTTGTCTCCCTTTTTTTTTGAAGGTTTGTAGGGTATTTTACTCTTAAAAAGGGACATTCATAATTTCCATAATAAAAAGGGAATAGGCCAGACCACCTCCATGCCTCTCGGAGAGAAGTTGAAGGAACTGGGCTCTGAAAAATAACACAGTTTTCTAGAAGTCTCTAAAATTAGATCCAATTTTAATAATAACAATAATTAATAATTTAGAAAGACTCCCTTAGTAGCAAAACCATCATGAACGAAGGCAGTGAAGGACAAGTAGAAAATTATGAAATGTCCCAGGAATGCTTCAGCCTACAACAAACAACAAAAACATCAAATCCCACCATCCCACCCCACAAAAAACACCAAATCCACCTCTCTGGAGACACACAACAAAGAGCAGCTACCAGGCCTATGGGTGCTAACTAGCTCCTGCACTCATCCCTTCAGCCTCAGGACAAGACTTAAGGATCCTGCACCACCTCCTCCCACTTCTGTCTCTCTGGCAGGGTGGCTCAGCGAGGGCCCCAGGGCCTGTGACAGTGCAGTGACGTACGCTCACCCACCTGCCTCTGTCACCCACTGCACTGCTGCCTCACCTCCCGAGCACACTGAGGCACTCAGCCACGCCGTCAAACGCACTAGGCACAGGGCACCCTAGGAAGCCTGCTGCACACAGCCCAAACCAAAAGCTAGCCCAGCAGGTAAGTGAGCTGCAGAGAATCAACCACGCAACTGAGCAGGCCAGATGGCCCATCAAAGGATTCCTCTAAAACCCCTTTGCCTGCCCCTTTCTCCTGTGGTGTCCTGAAGTCCATCCTCCATTTCACAAGTGTTGGAGAGTGGATGGAGCTTGCCACTCTCTTCTTCCAAACCAGCCTCTTGAAAGCCAGCAGGAACAGTCGAACAGGACACACAGAACTATACAGGGATGGCACACGGGGAATTCCAGGCAAGCTGCGATCCCCACATCCAACCACAGCTCTGCTCAGCAGCCCCACCCCAAAGCTGTGAGGCTGTGATCAGGACCCCACAGCAGCACAGGGACACAGACAGAACGAAGCCAAAACACAAGCTGAAACAGAGCAGCACAAGCAGCACTCAGGATCAGGGGGAAGGAGAGAAGGGGAGAGGACAGAATCAAAATTAAACCAAACAGGAAAAAAATAGCGGTTGGGGAAGATACCATGGACGTCTGCACTGGGGGTGTTTCTTTTGCAGTGCTTACTATACTGGTTTTGTTGTTGCTCTGTGGCTGAGACAGAAAAACATGGTTTTAGTTCCTCTGCTGGGCAGCAAATGCAGCAAGAAAATGACAGTATTGCTTCAACCCCAACCATCTCCTCAGACCCACCCCTCCCCACAGGCTCCATCACCAAGAAGAGGGAGGAAGGAGTGCTGCCCGGCTCACTGGACATCATCCTTCCCTCAGACGCAATAGATATTGTAAGGAATGTACCAAAACCCAAATATGCCTGGAGTGCTAGAGCTATAAGGAAGGAAAGCAAAAGGGAAAAAGGCAGCAGCCAAAAGGGTTGGGGAGGATCCTGAAATGAGCACCAACAAAAGTATTTGGTGAAGAAGAATGAGAGACGGCAGCAGTCTCAGGAGAAACAGACTACAGAATTGAGAAACACACAACAATTATGGTGCAGTCTCAAAACGGGACAAACTGGAGTCATGTCTGGGGAGTCTCAAAGTGTGCAGGAACAGTCCTAGGTATGTGCTGATGTTGAAGGTCCCCAGGAATCTACTGATGCCAGAAAAAATGTGGTCAACCCTAGAAAATGTAGAGAAAAGGTGAAACATGGTGTGTTGTGTCCTGCTGTGACCAAAATATGAAAAGGGATGGAGGTGGGACACAAGGAAAAGGCCATGTAGTTCCCCAAGTAGCAAGTCCTCTGGAAGGTGCTCAGTAGTTTTTCAACTTTCCCCTCTTCAGTCTCTCTTGTAGCTGCAGTAGAAGAATAAAACCTCCATTGCCTGCATTTACATAGCAAAACAGTGAGGCTGTCACCAGCTTGCTGCAAAGAAACATCCCACTGAGTCGTGTATCCCAGTTACATCAGGAATGAGCAAAGTGTTTTTAGGAAGCCAAACCTGTGTCCACTAGTATATAGCTCCCAGCCCACAAATCAAGTCAGTTGTTGGAGAATTAAGCCCATAGTTACGCTGCTGTGTAACCCCCACACTAGGTATATAGCTCTCTTGCTGCCAGACACCAGCAACAATGTCAAAATCAACACCATAGGACCCTCACTCAAACTCCCTGATTTACAGATCAGAGTACGAGGTAGGAGCTCACAGCAGCATGACCTCAGTGCAGCTGCTCTCCATCCCACGGTTCTTAGGGAGTGCAAACTCATACTGCAAGACATCAGGCCCTCATCACCCAGTAACCACCACAGAGAATGGAGAAGTCAAACGCTGAACTGGGAAACATCTGCCAAAGGTTTAATTCTATCAACCAGAGACACAGCCTATGAGGTCGAGACTTCACACACACTTCCTAATACTTCATTTTTTTCTTCACAAGCAGCATGCCCTGGCATAGCTATCCCTTTTAGAGAAGGAGAGACTAGAAACAGAAGAGGAAGATGGAACAAATGGAGAAGGAAGGAAGTAGGAGACAGAGGCAGGAATTAATTCTTTGAAAGTCCATGGAAAGAAAAAAAAAGGGGGGAGGGAGAAGGGCATATGACACTCATCCCCAAAGCTAAGAAAGAAGAAACACTTCACCAATTACTGTTCACTGTCTCTTCCTATATATCCCTGCATTATCCTAAGACTTTGGCCTTCCAAGAGCTTTGCTTCCTGCACGTATTTCCAGCCTGATGGCAGAAGAGATGACAGGCCCTAGTGGATGTAGAAGAAGAGCACATCAACCTGAAAAAATGAATCCAAACCTATTTCGTGGCATAAACACAACCAAACTTCTGGCAACATCTGGGTCAACGCCTCCACACAGCGCTGAGGTTCCCATACTTCTTCTTAACAGTGATCCTAATACAGAGTTCTATCTTCCAAACCTCTTCCAGTGAGAAGAGCACTGTTCATTTTTCTTAGTCCTCTGGGATAAGAAGATAAAGTTAAGTATGCAAGAAGCTATAAAAAAATACTCCCAATTTTCTGGAAGGTTTTGTAACTGAGGCCAAATGGGAAAAAAATCCCAAACATCCAGGAAGTCACTGTTCTGAAAAAAAGCTGACAGCATCTTGCTAGGTGTGGGATGTTACCTTACAAAGCGCAAACTCGCGCATACCCAGAGCACACAGCCTACTCTCCAGGCTGCACGGAGCGCTCTCTTCATCCACCACGCTCTTGCCCTGTCAGTGGGCTGAAGAAGACCAAGTGTCATGTTTGCTAGTCCAGAATCACATTGCATTTTACTCCAGGACAGAGTCCCAAGGAAATAAGAGGCAAAAGACTTAGCCTAAGCAATTTTTGCAGGTCTTTCTCAGATGGAGTTATCCGACATACTGAGCTTCCCGCATACACTCGTGTTCTGTGGCCACCTAACCAACCGTCCTGCCCTGGCAAAGACCGACTTGCCCTCCCCAGAGCTCCTGGTGGCACAACTCTTACCCCTCCTTCTCCCTCTACTGACAGCCAACATTGTAGTCACCGCGCAACCTGTGACCCTTGTAATTCACAACCGAACGGCTCAAGTTAAAAGAGGCAAATTCACGTAAAAAGGTGTCAGGCCCTTCTTAAAATCTATGTGACACGATTAGTTTTGACACAGCAGTTGGCAGCACTTCCTGAGCTAGACAAGAGACAGACAGACAGGCACAAACAACACAGAGGGTGCAAGAGAAAGAAAACAGACCAGTGATCATATCGCTAGGGATACACATTTCTAGACAACTATAACGCAAGTAAGTACCAACACATGGGCCATCTCTGGTTATTCGGCCACCTTCACTGCTTCCATATTTTCTGAGGCTGACACTTACACAGTTTACATATCCCAGCTGCTTTAAAACAACATGTAGAGGGAATTTAAGTATTGCTGGCAGTGGGGAGAAAATAAGTGCAAGAAAGACACAGCGAACACCTGCCTTGGAGTTTCATAAAGTCAGTCTCTCCCATCTGATTTTCCAAGGAGTACTTCACGATTACTTTTTTGTGTTTGCATAGTTTTAAGCTGTCACTGAAGGATGAAGAGGAGAAATATCTAGTACTGTAGAAACAAATTATCTTGCTTTCTCAGTACTATAACATTCCTGCTCCTACCTGCAACAGGGGAGAAATATTTTTTGTTCTTTTTCTGTGTAAAGGAGATAACGCAGTAACTATTTTTCTTCCTTAGTTACTGTTCATATCTCAATGTCAAAGACAAAGGCATCACCTAATGGACTATGTATGACTCCTTACAATATGGTACTGGCCAATTTTCTCTTTCCTCCCTTGAGAGTGGATTTGACTACTTTTCTGGCAAATTCTATGGATGGATGGAAAAAGGAAATGAACAGGATAGGGGAGGCAATTACTGGGTATTTGGACATGCTGGGATACATAAATGAGACCAGGACAGAAGGAAATTTGGGATTATAAAAGGCTTGACAAATTTTTTCAGTAAGTATGCTAAAAAAAAGAAGCGATTGGCAGCTCTGAGCTGCCCGGTGGTGCTGTACCCACAAATTTCATCTGAACAGTGGAGCCCCATCAGTCTCTGCCACATTTGGAGCAACTCCCACTTTGTCCTACACTGCAGGGCTCCCACCAACGGTGACGGCACCAACACCGGGCAAAGTACCTGCTCCTCTTTTTGGCACCTCTGCAACAGAATGACAAAGCCCCATGTCCAGGCAAGGCACGCAACTGCTCTGCTGAGCCCAGGAGAACTACTGCCTTTTGTCGTTTCACACTCAGAGCAGACAAGGTCAAACTGCATCGCCAACAGCTGATTTTCCGCACAAAATGGGAACTGTACAACTGGCTGGGGGCCAGACAATCACAGGGCCCTTTAAGTGAGGACATGGATCTTTCAGTGCACAATGACCCCCCCCCCCCACCGCCCCCCTGCACAGACATGCTATGTAGGGTGACGAGCACAAGCTGAGCGTGCATGGCATGAGAATGGCGGACGCACGAATCGCAGGCAGCTTACGGGAGGTGCTCACCATCAAATGCACACTGGAGCTCGACTTCCTTTTCTGGACACACCATTGAGAGAGGGAAAAAGGGAAGAGAGGAGATGAGAAGAAAAGCACAGAAACTATTCACACATTAGTGTGCCAGCAAGGGCCCCCCTGCCAATAATGCTCCCCTAGGGGCAGGTATAAGCAGCAGCAGAAACACACAGACATACAAGAAGGTGCAGAGAGAAGTCATCATTAAAGAACATGACTACACACCAGAGGAAAGGGCAGGGTTGAAGCCCCCATCCACTCAAACATCAAGGTCAGAACACCGGTGCCCCACACACTGACAGAAGGAGAGGAGGAGAGGACAAGATGTAGGATGCAAGGGGGTGCCTCTCATGTGCTCTTCCATGTCAGAAAACTGTGCGGCTTCCTCCGTCACACTGAAGAGGTGAGCAGAAAAGCTCCATGTGTTCACATCTGAAAGCAGCTGAGGTGTATTTACAACTAGAATCAGACGGTAGGAAGAAGGGCATAACAGGAGTGGCATCCCCAAGAAAGAAGAGGGACGTTCTGTGCGTAGCATCAGGAGAAAGGCTCCCTAAACACAGAAGTTGAGGCTGGCTGGAAAGGCAAGGTGTGCCCATGCTCAGACATAGAGGAAAGGCTAGAAAAACAAGGAGGCACTCAACAGCCAGAACACCTTGCACTCGCATATACTGGGAGGAAAACAAACAGGCAGCAATGCTCAAACACAGCGCAACCTTCCTGGACTCTACTCTTGTTCAAAGGCATCTTCAAAGACCTTCACACCAAAGTGCACTCTCCAGTAAACCAGGCTCAGCGTGCATTTTCTCTGCTCTTTCACAACACTCTTAGTGTCATCCTGTCCAAGCTGAGTCCGGCAGGTCTTTCAACATCACAATGCTACCCCTTCCCCCTGCTGTCTCCATATATACTTTTCATCTGCCCTTCTCCTTTGGTACTACCTAGGCTGTTTCTCTGCTGCTTGCTACACAGCCTAGCTCAGAGAGTAGTGCAGGACAGCATGTCCCAGCTAAAAACCACGATGGCATGGGTTCAGCTATGTAGTTTTGGACTCCTGAACACTACTAAAACTCACCTCTGGCTCAGTCCTTGAACTTAGTACAGGCCACAGCGTTGTACC